ACTTAAAATTTTTTTCTTATAAAATAAAATTAAATACTACTATAATATAATCCTTATTTTCAAATATTATTAAAAAATTTTTATTTAAATATTTTAAAAATTAAAAAATATAGATCATAAGTATATTTATAAAAATTTTTTAGGCAAATTTGCCTGGAAAAGCCTACAGATTAAGAGATAGTAAAATTTGTATATAAAAAAATATTTTGTTTAGATGACTCATAATTTGTCTATTAATGTATTAATATTGATTTATTTAGTATAAAGTTTTGATTATTTTTTTACAAATAGCAAATATAAAAATATTTTGTCAAATACTTAACAAAATTAAATAATTTTATACTATTTAATTTATTTTAATGAGATGAATTTAATTATATAAAAACTATCCAATTACAATTAACATAACCTGAAATATTACTAAAATTTAATTTTTTATTTTATCAAATTCTTAAATAATGCTTAGTTAAATGAAATATCTTTTTATTTGTTTTTTCAGTATTAAGATGAGGTTATGCCTCTTGTATCTTTATTAATTCTTAAGTTTGTATACTATTATATAATATTGTTGCTCACTCATACACCTATTATTGAACAAATTTTAAATATGAAACTTAGACTACTTTATTTATAATTTAAACTTACCAAAGTATTTTATATTTCATCTATATATTACTAGTTTTTGTATTTCTCTATAACCCACAATCAAATCTTAGTAACTTCTAATTTGGTTTATTTGGATAATTAGTTTCTAAAGATCTTTTAAATTGGTATGTTTGTCAAAAGTCTCTTGTGCACATATTTCAAGCCAAATTCTTGCTGTCTAGTTAGATTTCTACATAATAGTTGATATTTTATTATTAAATATTACCTCTACTTATTTGCCTAGATACTATTAATTCATATTTTAAGCCAGAAATCTGCTATTACTATTAGTTTGCCCTAATGTTGTAGGCGAAATTGGTTTTTCATTTCTGAAATATTTCAGATTTTGATAATTAATCCAAAATAAAATCCTAAATTTCCTAAATTTCGAAATTAAGATGAAAATCCGATATAAATCTGATATAAATCTGATATTTCGATAAAAAAATATATATATCTGATATTGTAAAATGGTTGATATTTTAACTTACTATATGAATGCTATCAAAGAATAATCTGTTATTGGACTTTTACTTGTATTCTGCGTTAGTCAAGATCAAATAAATCAAGTCTGATAATCTAAAATCCTAATAACAGTTTTTTCTTAGCCGCACTTATATTTATAAATATTATACTAAACAAATGTCTAGAATGATAATATATAATAACTAGGTTAAATAGAATAATAAGCAAAAGGTAAAGGAGTATAAAATAGTGATTTGAACCGAGAAAAATTTCCTTAATCGGTTAACCGAACTGAATTATTTCATTCAACCGATTGCCAACCGGTTAAGATTAACTATCTACTACCATCGGAAATTCTCGGTGCTTTACTCAAATTTTTGTCTTGTCTTTATGTTCATTAATTTTCTTTTCGGAACTTTTCGGACCCTTTACTCTCTCCTTACGTCATTTTCATATTATATCGATTCCGCCAACCGATTACCCAATTCTCAACCGGTTGTATCGGGTCAACCGATTAAGAATTTCCTCAACCGGTTAACCGAAATTTATTCAGTTCGGGTCGATTAACCGATTATAGCCCAACCGATTCAAATCACTAGTATAAAAGTAACCAAAGTCTAATAAATAATTTATATAATCCGAAAGTATTAAAGAGCTGCCTTTTCACTCTTACAATAAATTTAAGACTTTAATCGTTTAGTTATAAAAATTATAATAAATTGATTCTCAAAATATTATTTATTTGAGTATTTATTATCATTGATTATTTATTATTGTCTTGGTATTATTTATTAATTACCCAAATACTGTACATAAATATTATAATTGTATCACTTTTTTAAATTAATTGCGTACATATCTTGATTTATTTGGGTCAGTCTGTACCCGTTATGAGGCGTCAGGCATAATTTCTTAAATTGAGAATCGATGTTTAATCAATTTGGTATAATTTTTGGTGCTAGGTCTAAAATTAGAAATATGCATATTAAAATATTGGCTAACTTAATTAGCCAATTAATATAGATTATGCAAAATTTTATATTTAAAATCAAAGAACGATATAAGTAAAAAACTTTGAACTAGAATTATATCAGATTATAATATAATAATCTAAACAAAAATTACTGCTACAGATAGAGCGTCTACTTAAGAATAAATTATCACAATTTGATTAAAAAGTTCCGAAGCCTCATAACAGTACAGACATTCATTTAATTTATTAATTAACACCCAGTTTCTGATTTAATTAATTAGTCACATGTACAAGTTATAATGTTCGATAAGTTATTATTATAAAACCCAAGTACTAAACTCGACAATTACTTATTTACTCTCTCAAACTAACAGTAATAATATAATAAGCAATAAATATTAGTTAATTAAATATTATAAAATATATACATTGATTATGATATGTTTTAAAGATTAATATCAAACACTAAATCACTTTATTAATCCTGACATTTAATTTTAGTGATTAAATGCTAAAAATTATTTATATTATCAAACTATATTATTCTAACATTGCATTAATCACATTTTCAATATTTCAATCTTTCTCTTCCTCATCACCATTCTCAGTATCATTATTCTGAACAATATTTTTCTCTTCAGGAAATTCAAAATTAGTATCAACAATTATTTCGTCTAAACTATCTGTAAAACTAGTTGAATCGAGATTCACTAATTCTTCAATTTTAAGTATTTCTTCTTTCAGTAAGATAGAATTATCTTCATCGTTAGTGGACCTTTCATTCATAAATCTTTCTTCATCAATAGATTCTTCGTCATAATCATCATTTTCAAAAAAGTTCATATCAGATAATGCTTCATGTAAATCTTTAATATTAGAAGAATAATAAGGCAATTTATTTTTTGAATTTGCATAATAAAAAGCAAAAAGTTTTTGCATGTTTTCAATTTTGTCCAAAGAAAGACGTGTACAATGTTTGCCATAATACCACCCTAAAGTTGACCAAATTCTCTCACATCCAGCTACATGTGGTGTTATAGAAAATAGCTTATGAGCTAATTAACAAATATGATCTTCATTTTTTAAAAAATTATCCTCAAGTGAAGACCACCAGATTAAAGGAGATTCATTATCATCAAATGATTCATCAAATAGTGAAACACGAGTTCGATAACTTTTCATTTGAGACATTAGCATTGTTCTTTCTTTTGACTTTTTACCCATTTTTTCATAAATGGCATCTGCTGCAAAAAGAATACGCCGAAAAGTTCCTTTTGCCCATACATCTAAAATTTAAATAAATTTTAATAAATCTGAAGTAAATAAAATTACAAATAAAATAAATAATTACCAGCATATTTAGGATGAAAAAAAAACATAAAATATATGAATCATCGTCAAATTCAATAAACCTTTTATTAAAAATTGCAATTGCTTGTTGGCGAAAATTGCGATGATCATTTTCTGGAAGTTTTTTAATTGCTGCACCCAGACGAACTAGACCAATAAAGCAATCAGCTAGTAAACAATCTTGTGATTCAAGAGTAGATATAGCTAGCTTAATAGGACAAAGTACAAATGCTAATGCATTTAAATCATCAAAAAAAGCTCTTGAGTGTAATATCGTTTGTACTGAAATGTTTATGATATCCTTATTACGAATCTATAAAATAATAAATTAATAATCAATTAACTTTTTTTAAAAAAATACTAAAAAATACCATATTATTATATCTTTTAGCTTACTATTTCTAAAGGCACTTGATGTCTGATAATTGAAAATACACAATCGTACATAGTATGCCAGCGGGTATCTACCCATTGCATAAGGCCTCCTCCTTCAATTGAATTTTCTTCAGCTAAAGTTTTAAGTGTATTTCCTATAATTAAAAATAAAATATTTTAAATTTTTACTTAATAACATAAACAGTAATATTTTAGATTATATTACCTGCAAGATGACATCTTTTAAAAAAGCTAACTATGGTATTACAATATTTAAGCATACGATCTGCAAATAATGTTTTGCAAATATCCTTTGAAATAAGATTCACCGCATGAGAAATGCATCAGATATTCAAAATATTTGGATATTGTTCTGCAATAATATGGCGTGCTGCTTTAACATTAGCACCTAAGTCTGTCACAACAGCTGAAAATTTTTCCAGCCCAATTTTTTTCAAAATATTTGATAGATTCGTAATAAGGATATCATAAACATTTCAGTACAAACGATATTACACTCAAGAGCTTTTTTAAAAGATGTCATCTTGC